AAGAAAGAAAGAAAGAAAGAAAGAAAGGGAAAAGAAAAGAAACAACTTCAGTTCTAACACATAAGAAAGCACTGGTTTTAAAGAGTTAGCTCAAAAAAATCACTTAAAAAAACAATAAAAAAAAGCCACAAAGAAAACAACAATGATTACAATAAGCAGCATCAACAACAATCTTTGGGAGGATAGAAACCAATTTCCACAGTTGCTGCATTATGTTGTGTAAAGTGCTTAATTAAAAAAAAAAAAGACATGAAATAAAACAAGAAAGTATGTCCCACTGATGGGGGAAAACAACAAAAATTGTTCTCTATGAGTTGCAGATGTTGACTTTCTTTGTCAAATTCTTTAAAAACTTATTTAAAAAGCTAGGGGAAACCATATTTAATGATGATGTACCTAATGAGGAAGACCAATAAAGAGAAATTACTTTTTAAGGGACAGCTGAAAAGCCTAGAGTTGAAAAGCACAATAATTGAAATGAAAAGCTCATAGGAGAAGGTCAGTGGCAGATTAGAGCCAGCAGAGGCAAATGACTAATAAAATAGATTATACAGGAGGAGGAAACAGAGAAAAGGGACAGAGAACAATGACCAGTACCTCAGAGAACCGCGACACACTATCAGTCACAGAAGCACGCGTGTGGGATTGTTCAAAAGAACTTCCAATATTGCCCTTACTCCACTGAAAACAGTTTTGTGCAATTATCTGCTTCATTTTACTTGTGAGAGAGAATCTTTTTTTGTCTATGTCTTGTTCTCTGAGTAGCCACTTTGAAGACCATAAACGTATGCTAGCAGAGAGTACAAGAAGTCCTCAGGGGCTTCCTGCCAGCTGGGCGCAAGGCTAATTAGAACTCACTCTCCCACAATTCCACCCTGCTGTCTAGGACTGGTCTGGCTTGGACATTTGACTGAGCAAACAGACAAACACACGTAACAAAATCAGATCTCACCTTTAAAAAAAATGTGGTTCACCAGGACCATGGCTGTCAGAGGGTCCAGGTCTTGGATTAAGTTCACCACCTTTCCTCTTGTCTCTTTTTCCACATAACTGTTGATCCTCTGGGCAGTGAAGGCTTTGGAGAAATCTACAGAAAAGACCTTTGACCCGTACAGCCTCTTAGCTCTCTCTAGGAAACTTGCCTGCAGCTGCAGCCCTTTCTTGACAAAGAGGGCACTGCCCATCCTCAAGTCCCATTCTTCATTGGGGACATTTAGTGCGTGGACTAGGTGCTGGAAACCCTGATGGATGGCAGATTCTGGGGTAGCTGTGAGGTTGAAGCCCAGAGTCTTGAGAATCTGAACCTTGGTGGCTGAGCGGCCTCCCAGCGACAGCATGGCCAGGGAGGTGGAGATGCTCACCGGGGAGAAGAAGATGTTCCGACCCGGGCTCTGCAGAGCCAGTCTTCGGTACAGGCGGAAGGCAAAGTTGGTGCTGCCGGAAGACACCTGGGAGCCAGGGCTGCTCTTGGAACAGGAAGGCGGTGCAGACCCTCTGCTGGGAGCATGGGATGGGGGCTTGCAGTAGAGGGGAACCCAGAGGCCAACGAAAAGGAGCAGATGATAAAAGGAAGAGGCCATTTGGAACCAAAATAAGTCTGTAAGAAAGAAAACCATAGAGGAGAGGTCAGCTAAGGATCCAGGCAGGAGACCTTCCGCACTCTGCATATTACCAACTGACAGCTGTAAAGCAGAACCTCATTTGAACCCCTAGTAACCCCACAAAACAAGCATTGTCATTACTGTGTTGGTTGTACAGGCCCCTGGGAGGGTGTGACGTGTAGCTTACACCGGTCATGAGGGTGGCTTGTGTGCTGTCTGGAATTCAAAGTCAAGTCTCAGATCCCCAATTTCATGATCTTTGCTGGTGTTGCCTCCTAGGTTTGTTTTGTCAGAAGATAGCGAAAGTAGTTTGCCAATTCCCAGTCCTCGTACTGGAAGTGATCTCTCAGCCTCCAAGTAAACCTGACCCTTTTTGTGTAGATTGGGTCATCTCCTCTCCCTGATCGCCTGTCTAGGCCACAGGCATTTCTGGGTATGTTTGTGTGTGTTGCCAAGTGGGACACTACAGCAAGCAGCTGCCCTGGAATTGTGGCCCCAGGTGTCCCAAGTGCTGGTGGCCTTCTTCTCCCGAGATCCAGCTCCATCTACAACTATCTGGTCTCCCTCAAGCCTCATCCAGCAAGACTTGGGCACCAGGGGGATGTCAGAGTGTTAAACTAATTTAATTTGGCCTAGTGGCTTCTCCATATGCAGTGAATGATAATCCCACTTTGTAGGTAAGCAGACTGCAACCTACTGACATAGCAAGTAGCTGAGTCTCGGCCAATCACAAGCTGCCAACTGCCCAGGCCATATTCAAATGATATAGTTGCAAACTAAGCTGTGACCGATCTGGCTGTCTCTGTACGCTGCTTCTGTTTTCTGTATGTTACTTCCTTTTCTATATTAATTAAACTTGCCCACGTGATAGGTGAAATCCTTTGAACCACTCTTGTTCAGATTGCAGATCAATCCTATAATTGCAATTTAAACCAGCAAAGAACTGCAGAACTAGATGTGTTGGAATTTTTTTCTTTTAATAAGACTGAGGGCCTCATGGTAGTTAGAAGCTCCAGCAGGACACACTGGGGATTGCACCCCACTCTGATGTGCATGATGGATGACTTCCATTCCCTTTTTTATCTTTCTAGAAGCATAGAGAGTTGTGCAGGTGCTTGTGGTGAAGTCCACAAAGGGGGCAGCATGAAACCCAGTGTGCAGCAAGTGCTCAGTAAATTATTTCTGTTGTTGCTGCTATTACTGAGTTCAGTGAGGACTGCGTGAGACTTCCATGTGGGCAGGTTTGGAAGTCTCCCTGCTCACAGCACTCTACCTGTCCAGTTCCTGTACCACCCTTGCACTGTCAGGAAGATGTCAGGGCTTTACCACACCTGACTGTGTCTCGGGAACAGAAGTGGAAAACTGCCCACATTTAATACTCTCAGGGTACTGACTTCCTTCCCTCCCCGTCCACTGTCCACTGGCACGTCCATCTGCAGTCTGTACTTGGCTCTGAGAGCAGACAGCTTATGGCCCACCTGCCGCCAGAGTCCTCCCTGGCATCCCTCACACGCCACTGAGGGAGCCCTGCCTGGGACCCCTCCCCATCCAGTGTTCATAGACACGTCTCTCTTTCCCGTTCCTGGAAATGACATAGCTTTCACTTGCTCGAAAGGCACCCCCCCCTGCACTGCCTCTCCAGCCACGACTCCAGCCCTGTCTTCCTTCTCTTTCCCCTGCCCCTGAGAAGTGACTGTGCCTCTATGGGCAGGCAGATGGTCCCTGGCCACGTGTGCCTGTCTGTAGTCTGTGAGTGCTCAGGGTGTGCATTGCGGGCGTCCAGGGCTCTGGGTTGTCACATGTGCATGTGCAGGCCTTGACTAGGCCGAGTGAGTGGGGACAGAGCGGAGGGTCCTGGCCCCTGGGAGCTGCTAGAAAGATGGCCAGTTAGCAATGAAACCAGGCAGGAAGAGCGGGTGTGGTGAGAAGGTAGGGACGCAGGCCAGCTGTCCCGCAATCCGAAAGGCTACCAGAGGATATGGGCACCGAATGAGACTTGAGAGGTTGACAAGATGTCAAGCTTTGAGTCTGGAATGTTCCCCATGCCCTGAGCTAGTGATGCTGTTGGGAGGTGATGGAGGCTTCAGGAGAAGAGGCCAAGCTGAATGAGGAAGGCCACCAGGGGTATGGCTTTGAAGGACATTCTTATCCCTGGACGCTTCTGCCCCCTCTGCATCCCGGCTCCAGGAGGAGAGCAGGCCCCACTCTCCCATGCTCTCACTGTCATGATGGTCTACCCTCCTTCCCTCTATTTTTTTTTTTATCTTTTATTTATTTATTTGGTACAGGGTCTCACTATGTAGCTCAGACTCATAGTGATCCTCCTGTTTTCAGCCTCCCTAGAGCTGGGGTTACAGGTGTGTGCCACCACGCCCAGTTTCAGTGGCTGGTATGGCCCATCTGGGGTTCTGGAGCCTGCACAGCAAGTGGTACTGGGAATCTAACCCAGGTCCCTGCCCATGCCATGCAGGCGCTTGGACCACCGAGCTGTCTCCTCAGCCTCGCCTTCCCCCTAAAAGCCATGCAGCCAGGGGAGCACAGAATGGGGCCTCTGAAGCCATGAGCCAAATGGACCTTTTCTCTTTAAGTTGCTTTCCTCAGGCATTTTGTCACAGCAATGGAATGCTGACTTATACACAAGTGCATAAGTGAAGAGGGAAAGCCCAGAAGAGAGCTTTAGGCTGAGGAAGCTGCTGTGGTAAGGGCCAGTAGGGAGCCAGAGAGCAAGGCAGCTCCCAAGAACAGAACAGAGAAGTCTGTGTAAAGCAGGACACCAGCACCAGAGCGCTGGTCACAAGGTGGGGGTTGCTGAGAGGAAGCAGGAGCCATACGCAGGGGGCCTGTGTGGAGCTGGCACAGAGCAGCACCTGGGTGGGGGGATGCTCCTCCGTCACAGCCACCAGAGAGTCCTTCATTGCTCTATACTCCTGCTTCCAGCCCCCACCTGCCCCAGCAGCCAAAAAACAAGGCAGGACACAACACATGCAGGAATGCAGGAGGGGCCACGACCAGAAGGTGGGATTGAGACCCCGAGTTCCTGCCTGTTGACCTGTGACTGATAGCGAGACTGGGGCTCAGGTCTGCATCCCACTTGGGGGGACTTCTGTGACCTCCAGGGCTCTGCAGGGCCTGTGGACCCGTGCTTAAGTGATAGCGCCTGACATCGGCACCCGTGAGAAGGCACATTCCCTGCCCACCTGCAGGGACATCCACGAGGAGGAATTTAAGAGTCACCCGCTAGGTTCGAGAACAAACCCAATAGGGCTGAAGAAAAGATCAGCACTGCCGAAAACAAGTGAGTAAGAACAGGTCGAGCTGAAGACAGTAGGCTGGTGTGAAAGAAAATAAAAGAACAGTGCCTGGGCCCATCTGTAATTGATTCCTGGAGAGCGGAGAAAAAACAACAGTGAGCAGGGAGGTGTGGACATGAAGAAATGGCGGCAGAGATTGCTTGCTGCAGGCTGTGGAACTACATCTAAAGAAAGAGACGTAGGGCACCCTCTCCGGGAGTCCTGGCAAAGGCTCCCTTGCTGGACTCTCAAAACCCAGCCTCCTGCCCCGCTTGGCCTCCCCCCCCTTCTGTACTGTGGCAGTCCCTGCCCTCTCCCCTGGCCCTGCTGTGGTCGGATGTGGGTGAGATCCACCCACAGAGGCGACCGCCACACTCTGACTTCTCTGGGTCAGCTTCTCCCGGCTGTTCCCTTCCCGTGGCCACGGCCTTTCCTCCACTGGCCTGCCTCTCACTAGCCCGCTGCACAGGGCAGCCCTGGTCCCCGGCCCTCCTCACTGCACAGGGCAGCTTCTCAGAGCTCGCCCCATGGCACTGCCCTCTCGACTCCTCAGCACCCCCACTGTGCTCAGGGGCAGAGGGGGGTTACTGCATGCCGAGCCCATCTCCGTTGTGCCCCACGTGACCTAGCCCCTGCTCCACCTCCTGCACCACCCTCTGCCCAATTTCCAGCTTGGGTGACAAAGACTTCATTGCCTTCCAGGACCCTCCAGCTGCAGGGCCTCTGTCTATGATGCACAGTTTCTGCAGGGTCCTGGCTGGGTTGGACCTACCCAGCTGTCCCTTCTGGAGCAGTGGTTCCTCGGGCAGCCCCTGATCACTGGGAATCGCACGTCCAGTTTCTATCCACCTGGCAAGGCATAGCGCTTACACACACACACACACACACACACACACACACACACACACACCATGCACATGCATACCCTTGCTCTACGGAGAACCTCACCCCTGCTTTGCATCAAGTAGAGACCTTCAGAAAACTGGCTGCCTCAGCTCCTGCGAAACACAAATCTCTGCTCCTGGACCCCCAACCCCTCTGCGCCCCAGCCCCTCTGGACGATGCAAGACCATCTAGGCAGCCCTCTCCTCACTCTTCTGCCCTGAGCAGCCCTCCCAGCATTGCCCTGGGCTTCTAAATGCATTCAGGTCTTGCCTACTTGGAAATGCTTCACAGCTATAAAACAAGACAGAGCACCCTTTCCCTCACGCACTCCTGGTTGCTCCCTTCTGGGGCTCCAGTGTCCCCAGCCTCTTCCTCAGCTTCCCCTCATCTGCTTATCTGGCTGCACCCCCAGCAACCTGACCCCGAGGTGCAAAGCAACAGATGCAGGTAGCCTGCACTCAGCCCACTTGCCTTCTCAACACGGAGGCCGTCCGGGCTCCTGCTGCTGCCCTTCCCTTTGGCAGCCCGCCACTTTGTCCTCCGGGATCTGGCTCACCCCTCTGCTCTGCCTCCACACCTGGCTGCCGCTCTGCTTTGGGCCCAGCCCTGGCCTTATATGTCTGCAGGCCTCTGCTCACAGGTGCTTGGCTGTGCTTCGCGCCTGTCCTGGCTGATCTCACCACACCCACAGTGGCTTCCTCGCTAGGACATACAAATGGCATAGTGGCTTCCCCTCCCACCAGCCTGCCTCTGAACTCCTTATCTCTAATTATCTGCTCACCAGCTCCTCCTGAGTTTATAACTAAATCTCAGTGCCTGCTGTGTGACCCAACTGAACTCAGAC